TTTTTTCTGTTTGATGTTGACATTACAAAAAAAAAAAAAGAGGAAAGGAAAGGAAAAAAAAGGAAAATAGAAAAGGAAATGGGGAAAAAAAAGAAAAAGAAAAAGGAAAGAAGATAAGTGATAGATGAGATGTTATAAATTTTTATCGAATTTTTTCTTCCTTTTTTTTGATCGGTTAGGAAAACCGATTTGTGTTTTTCAATGTTTTTTAAAAAAAAATACAATGTTGCCAAATATATTAGTATTATTATTATTATTACTATCATCAGTTTTTAATCACGAGGAAATTTTCATGTTTGACGCGTTTGTAACATTTGTTGAAATTGTTTTTACATTTATTTCAGATTCCTGCCTCTATCTTTTTCTCTTTCTCTCTCTGTCTCTCTTTCTCATTATTATTATTATTTTTTTTTTCTATATATATATATATATATATTTTCCTTTTACGTTTTTTTTTTTATAAAAAATAATCCCAAAGTAAATAAAAAAAAAATTTTTTTTTTTTTCTCCATAAAAATGAAGATTGATGAAATTCGAATGAATGAGTTTTTCTTTTTTTTTTTTTCGTGGAACTAGAAAAGGTTTGTTTTTTTGAAATTTTTTTTTCTTTTCTTTTTTTCTTTCTTAAAAACTTCTTGTTAAGTTTTTTTTTCTTTTTTTTTTTATTCGTTTTATTTCTTTTGTGTAATTCAAAAAGGAAAAAAAAATTTTTTATACTTTGTGTTGTAATTTTTATAACTTTTAAAGTTAAAAATTTTTTTTTTATATCCTCCTCTCGAAAAGCAAAAAAAATGTAAATTAATAAATACATAAAAAAAATTTTTTTTAGAGGAAAACGAGTGTTTTGACCTTTAACCCCGTATTCGCCACATAAAATCCAATATCTTTAATTAAAGTTTTAACAATGAATGACCTAATAAAGCCAAACACTTAATAAAATATCAATAAAAAAAAAAAAAATATTTTTATAAAAAAAAAAAAACTTTTCAAATTTCATCCTTTAAAATTAACGACGACAGCAAAAAGAAACTTTTTCTCTCTTTCTTTCTCTTTTTTCGAAGAAATTTTCCGGTGAATAAATTTTCAAGAGATTCCGAATGAATGTTTTGAAAGGAAACAAAAATAATTTTCTAAGCAATTATAAAATAGAAGAAGGAAGGTAAATTAAAAAGGTTTTTTAAAAGGATTCGACTCTCAACAACAACAAATCCTTCGAGATTTTGATTTCAAGTTTAAAAAAAAAAAAAAAAGAAGAAGAAATGAGCAACCCTTGGGTTAAAAACAAAATTAGTTTTACTAATTGAAAGATAAAAGTGTTGAGCCATGCTCTCTTTACAATATTATCATCATCATCATTATCATCATTATTATTATTACTCGTTTCAATTTTCCTTTTTTCTTCCTATTTGAAAATATTATTTCGTTGTTTTCTTGTGCGTAGATTTTTTTTTTCTTGTTTTTTTAAACGAATGGAAAAAAAAACTAATTAAAAACTCGTCAACGTAATAAGAAATTATTAAAATTATTGTCATTATTATTATCACCATCATTATCATTAGTATCATGCTTTTTTTTAAATTAGCATAACGGGTGTCCGAAAAAAAAAAAAAAATTTTAAATTATAATTTTTTATGGTACGAACAATGGTAAATTTAATATACGCCCCTGATGAGAGTGTTTTATACGACTCGTTACTCTTTTTACTTATTATTATCATTATCATTATCATCATCGTCGTCGTCGACGTCATTTATGCGATTGTAAGGAATTTTTTTTTTTTTTTTTTTCGGATAATTTGATCGGTTTTCATTGGTTGAAATTTCTTTTTTTTTTTGTCAGCATTCTACGTCAGCAATTGCTGTTGATATTTTTATTTTTTTTTCTCATGATAAGACTTTAAATTGAAATTTTATTTATGAGATTATCAAAGCTTTCTTTTTTTTTTTTTACTCTCTCAACGATAATAATAATAATAAACACGGACAGACGATAATTTTAAAAATTTGATAAGATTGGCATAAAAGGGTAAAAAAAAAAAAAAATTTGAAGACACACATTAACTGGAATGTTTGTCGGGAACGGAAGGATTAGGGAAAGAATGATAGAATTACATTTCGAGTTCGGGTTACGACAGAACAGTTCTAAACAAATATACGTGTAGCGAGATAACAAACCGGATATAGTTCAGCGACATAATACCGTAAAATGGTGTGTAAATTAATTGAAGTGACCGTACCGGCGGGAAAAAAGCGGCACCACAGCCGAAGAAGAGAAAGAATTATTACTAGGGAATTGGATGGAAATCTGGAAAATTCCAAAATCATGAATAAGGTAAAAATAATAATAATAATAATTAATAATGACTTTAAAAAAAGAAAAGAAAACTCGATCGATTTAATTTTTTTTTTCCTTTTTTTTTCAATTATCATTTAACTTTTGATCTCTCGTTCTTCTATGCCCACCCCTCACCCTTTTTACTCTTTAATTTTGTCCAAAAAATTTTTCCCTTTTCTTCTCCTTTCTCCTCCTCTTCCCCTCAACTCGACAAAAAAATACATATAATGAAACAAAATCGTATAAAGAATTCGAGTCACGTATTTTATATTCCAGGTGGTTGTAGGTTGGAATGAACAATTTAACCTTTTGTTTAGTCCTTTTTTCCTTTTCCCTTCTTCTCTTCCTTTTTCTTTTGACTACCTTTTAAAATTTTTACTTTTTCCTCTTTTTAAAATTCTCATCAAGAATTGTTACAGATCTTATCCTTTTTTTTTTTTTTATAAAAAAAACCATATTTCAATTAATTTATCCTTTTAATACGTATTTAAGTAAATTTTCATTTTTCCCTTTTATCATCATCATCATTATTATTATTATTATTATTATTATTATTATTATTATTATTATTATTATTATTATTATCTTTTTTTTATAAATATATATTTTATTTAGTATTTCTCTCGTTTGATATTTCTATTTATAAATTCATAAAGAGTCGTTATAAAACGATCCGAAAATCAATTATTAATTTATTTAAATGTTTTTTAAACTCGAAATTGTGTTTATGATAAAACGTCAAATTTTCTAAATAAATTTATTTATAAACAAAAAATTTTTTTTTTGTAAACCTATTTTAAACCTTTTAAAACCTTTTAAACCTTTCAATCAAAAAAAAAAAAAAACAATCGAACCCTTTTCCGAAGATTATTTTTAAATATCTGTTTCATCTTAATATAATTTAATAAAATTTTTTTTTTTTTGTTAAAAAATATCATCGCCATTTTATTTATTATTTTGTTTACAGATAAATAATAAGAAAAACAAACAAACGAACAAACAAACAAGAATTGTTTTATAAAGTAACGGAAATAAGAAATAATTTTACGATGATGATGTGGACGTCAACTTTTAAAAGAACACTCATTTCTAATTTTTTCCATATTGTTGCTCTCTCTTATTGATTAAAATTCATACCCAGGTGATTTAAATTGTGATGATGATGATAATAATAATAATAATAATTTATTGGAAAACGTCGATTTATAATGAAAATAAATTGTTATTATTATTATTATTATTCAAAACTTCAAGTGATGCATATAAATAAATGAATATAATAAGAGATTTGAAACCTTGTATTTTTCACACAGAAATATATATCATTTCTGTCACTAGAGGAGAGGAGGGGACAGGGGAGGGGAGGGAAGAGAGCCCACATTGTATGCTTTCTAAGATCTATATTTATAGTCTATAATTCTTCGTAAATGTCATTAATATCTTCTTATTCATATATCACTTAATTTAAAAAAAAAAAAAAATTTATTTTAAAAGGTTTTTAAAAACGACAACAATTTTCTCCATTTTTGATTTTTCCTTTCACTCTTATTCTATTTTCTCTCACTTTCTCTCTCTCTCTCTCTCTCTCTTTCTCTTTTATTATTAGTTTTTTTTTTTTTTTTTTAAAAAAAGAAATCAAACTTTTTATGAAGAAGAAAAAAATAAACAAACAATAAAGTCCGATTTTTAAACGTGATAATAATAATAATAATAAAAAATAAAAACAAAGAAAATAATTTCGGTCGTAATGGGCGAGAAAAAAAAAAGATTTTCCATTAGAAAAATGAAAAACAAACAAACAAAAAAAAAGGTTCCCAAGGTTTTTTTTTTTTTTTTTATTAAAAGAAAAACAAAATAAAAAAAAGGTATTAGTTTAAACAATAATAATAATAATACGTTGAATTTTATATACTTAAATGATGCATTAACAAACTTATAAAGAGACATTCATTAGGTTATAGACTTTATAACGTAAAAAGATATAAAGAGTAGTGAGTTAAAAAAAAAAAAATTTTATTTTGTCTATTTACACGAAAAAAACCTTTCGCGTAAATAAATAAATTTTTTATCTCCTTCATAAACTTTTGATAATAATAATTAAAAGAAAAGAATTTTTTTTTTTTTTTTTTTTTTTGGGTAAATTAACAACAACTCGTGAAAGGAGTATCATTTTTCAATAAGTAAAATTAATTCTGTGTCGATCAGAAAAATTCTTAAAAAAAAAAAAAAAAACAAAAATCAACAACAGGAAAAACAACAACAACAATAACAACAATAACATCAACAGGGAGATATTATAAGAAGAATCGAAACATAAAACAGGCGGTGCCTTTTTAAAGAATAATGAATATTTTTAAGTTGAAAAGAAAAAGGTTTTCGTGATGCTGTCGTTGCATTTTTGCGGTAAAACGAAAATGTTTTTTTTTTAAACTGCGAAACGTCCTTCCCTTCCCCTCCTTCCTCCCCCCCAAAAAAAAAACGAAAAAAAAAAGAAAAATTCACGCATGCGAAAGTTGAGTTAGTAAAATTTTTACTTACGATTATTATGTTTGTTATATAATCGTTTGATTAAATTGCTTTTTTAAAAATATAAGAATAAAATGACCCCCGTGAGAAAACGAGAGAGAGAGAAAGAGAGAGGTTGAAAAAGAGAGAGAAAAAGAAAGAAAAATATAAAGGATCGAACGGGTTAAAGTTCAGTGAGTGCATTAATTTAAAATGCCTCAAGTTTACATAAAGATTTACCGCAATTTCACAGAGATTTTTATGCGGTTTTGAAAATCCCCCAATTTAATTTTTTTTTTGTTTTATACGTTAGAGAGAGGAGAAGAGGCAAACGGAAAGAAGGGTTGAGAGGAGAGTTAAAAAAAAAATTTTCGATTAAAAGTTAACAACAAAATTCCGATAAAAATTATTTTTTCCCCATGATTGAGTTTGTAAATCAAACAAGAGTTTATCAGCATGTAAAAAAAATTTTTTTTTTTCTTTTGTTTTATCCCGTTGTTAAAATAAAAAAAAATGGCCGAAGGTTTTGCAAAGATTTTCCGGGTTAAAAAATTTTCTTTTTTGAAAATTATAAAATTTTTCTACTGTCACGTCAAAAATACCATCTGCCACTGTCATTACTTTCCAACGTCATTTTATTTTTCTTACGAATATTTTTATTATTATTATTCTTGTTTAAATTTTTTTTTAAATAAAAATAAAAAAATACACTGGAAAAAAAATGAAAAATTTTTTCCTTTTTTTTTTTTGAAGAAGGACTGGAATTTTGTAAACATTACACACAAAAAAAAAAGTTGTATTTTTGCTTTCAGCCACGACTAAATTATTATTTATTCAAAATGTTTTTTTTTTTTTTCAATTATTATTATCATCCTCATTTTTTTTTTTTTTAAATTTACGTGTTTTCGAATAAAATTATGACTTTGATAAAAATAAAAAACGTGGTTTTAGGAAAAAAAAAAAAATTAAATAAATGCCACTGTCTGCGATCGTGATAATATTTTTTCGACTTAGTACATAAATAATTTAAAAAGTTGATAGCTTTCCCATTAAGTAAAAAAAAAAAAAAAAAAAATTATATTTTCAAAACACGTTTTCGTAAATTTTATCATGTTCTACGTAAAATATTTAATTATTTTTATTATTAAAAAAAAATACTCATCTCTGATTGGGCGATCACCGAGTTTAAAAAAAAAAAAAATTAAATACTTGTCTTTGATTGGTCGATTACCGAGTCCTTTACAAAAAAAAATACTCGTCTCTGATTGGTTGATCACCGAGTTTTTAAACCAAAAAAAAAGTACTAGTCTCTGATTGGTCGATCACCTTTCGGTCTCTGATTGGTCGGTCCTTTAACAAAAAAATTAATTACCCGTCTCTGATTGGTCCTGATTGGTAGATCATTGAGTCTTTAAACCAAAAAAAAAAGTACCCGTTTCTAATTGGTCGATCATCGAGTCTTTTAACAAAAGAAAAATATTCGTCTTTGATTGGCCGATTACCAAGACCTTTACAAAAAAAAAAAAATTAAAAACGCTTCGTTTAAATAAACGTATTGTTATAAATTTATTTAAACGTTTTAGGGATTTTAAACGACAGTACTCGAAAAAAATGATTTTATTAAAATTCGTCGTGAATCTAGAAAGAAATTTTATTTTTAAAAAAACACTTTAAAACTAAAAAGAAATTAATAAGTTTTATTATTATTATTATTAAACGCAACAATATTTTTTTATTTGACTTTTAATAAAAAAAAAAAAAAAGTTAAGCAATAAAAATGGCTGGAAAATTACTGGAAAACTCTTTTTACTAAACTTGATGAGCCGAAAAGGCTAAAAAGTAATTTATTTATTTTTTTTTTTTGCGACAACAACTTTTTGAAAACTTTTTTATTTTTAAAGACGATTAAATTCCAAAACAAATGTTTTTAAATTAAATTAAATTAATTTAAATTAAAAAAAAAAAAACAAAAACAAAAAAAACGCTTTTCCTAATATATAAATATATATTTCAAACCGGATATCACCGTTTCAAAATTCAAAATGGCGGGTTTTTTTAAAATTCGTGTTACAACCGGACAATAAAACAAAATTTTATTGTTTTTATTATGTTTTTTATTTTTATTTTAACTTCCGCATATATTTTGTCGTTTCTTCTGCTTTTATAAATTAAAAAAAAAGAAAATTTCGAAAATAATAATAATGATAATAATTTTTTTTATTTCGTTCAATCCGAGTGTAAAAAAATTTATTTATTTTTTTTGTAATGATTTATGGTGGGAAAAATTAAAAAATATGAATTTTGACGATTTAAAAGCTCAACGTAATCATCGACATTTACCAAATTAAAAAAAAAAAAAAATTAGCAGAGGATAATATATATTAATCATCGAATTTGTTTTTGTTTTGATAAAAATATTTTTTCTGAACCCACGAAAAAAAAAAAAATTTTTGGTAATTTATACGCGCCAATTAAAATACTTTTGAATCGGAATCGTTTCGACCAATCAAAACGCTTATCGCTCGTTCGTATGTTTAGCTTTCGAGAAAAAAACAAAACAAACCGATTGATTTTGCATAAGAGGATTTCGAAGCTTGAAGAAAAAAAAAATTCAAATTTTTTCCATCCCTCTCCCCACCTTAAAATATTATTATTATCATTATTATTATTAAAAAATTCACATGAAAAGATTTAAAGTGAAAACATATTATTATTATTATTATTTTTTTTTTATACATTTAATGGAAAATATCTGAAGATTAAAGTTTTTGTATGTTTTTCACGTTTTATACTTTGTTATGAAATAGTCGGCTGTTGCCTTTTAGGAAACGTTATTTTCATCATTATTATTATTATCATTATTTCTTTTTTTTTCACACACACACAAACACAAAAAAAAAAAAAATATGTTGGCGAATGTGCGTTTTAAGATTTTTTGAGTGTGTAAAAAAAAAAAAGGAAAAATTTTTTTTCCGCGTGTTAGCGTGCATGATTGCGTAGGTTCGTGCGCGTGCGAGTGAGGGAGTGTCAATGTGCGTGCGTGCGTGCGTACGTGTGTGTGTTTGTTTGTTTCTTTATAAGTAAAAGATTTTGATGAAAATTACCGCACACTTTCTTTATACGTGTACACATTAATTATTCTCTTTTAAAATATTTTCTTCTCTTTTTTCATTAGTTCATCATTTACAACTAAATAAAATTAAATTAAATGAAAAACAACTCAAATGTGAGTGAGCGAATAAAAAGAGAAAAAGGATAATGATAAAAGGAAAATATATATATATATATATGAATTAAAAAGAGATAGATATATATACGTATAACGAATTAAAAATATTAGAAACAAGGAAAAAAAAAATTTGCCACGTTGTTGCATGAATGTGCCACGACAAAAAAAAAGAAAATATTCAACTTTTCTCATTTTTATCATTATTAATATTGTTATAAAAAAGTTTTTGTTTTGTTTTTTTTTTTTATAAACAAAATTGATTTTTTTAAAGTTTTCGTTTGTCGCTTAATGCTAGATTTTTTGTTTGTTTGTTTGTTGTTGTTGTTTTAAGAAAGATCAAAGTTGTTATAAACTTTATGGCAGAAAAAAAAAAAATTAAAATCGACTTTTTTTTTTACTTTTTTTTTTTTTTTTGAAATGTTCGATTTTTTTATAATAAACTTTTTTTCCTAATGTTTTCATATAAAAGTTTTTAATTGCCTGCTGCCACGTTTAAACACGTATTTCGGTTTTCATTTTTCTTTTTTTTTTGGAAAATTTTATTACCTCACTTCAATTTTTCCTTTTTTAAAAGAAAAAAATTTATTACGTTGACAAATATTATTATTATTATTTCTTGTTTTTATTTATTTACTTAACTTATTATATACTCTATTTTTTATAGTCTACGTAACTTTAAAAAAACGAAAAGTAATTAAAAAAATATTATTATTATTATTTCTTTAATAAATAATAATAATAATTTTTTTTCTTTGGGAAAATTTACGTTACGTCACACTTTAAACTGTAACTCTAAAAAAAAATAGCGCTATATGATATTTAAAAAATTAAAATTTTTTTTAATATGCGACAATAATTTATCGTATTAATAACTTTTTAATAATAATAATAATAATAATAATAATAATAATAATAATAATAATAATAATAATAATAATAATAATAATAATAATAATAATAATAATAATAATAATAATAATAATAATAATAATAATAATAATAATAATAATAATAATAAAGTTTATGTTTTTTTTTTAATAAAAATAATTTATTAAAAATTAAATTAAATAAATTTTTTGAATTTTTTTTTCTTACTGAGCGCTATTAAATTTCTTCTTTTCTTTTCTTTTTTTTTTTGCATCCTTCTACCCCTCTCCTCCCTCTGCAACCTCGCACATTTTTTTCCTTATTCTTTAGACTTTCCTCGGAATTTTTTTTCGCTTTATTTTATATTCAAATTAAAAATAATAATAATAATATAAATAATAATAATAATAATAATAATAATAATTAACCCCGATTTTTTTTCTCCAAAATTTTCTTTTTTTTGTACTGGAAAAATGCGTTTTTATTTTTTTTCCTTTCTCTTCAAATGTTATTCATTATAAAAAAATATATAAATATATTCAAGGATCCATTTTGTTTTTGTTTTGTTTTTTTCAACTATTTAATTACGCTTATTAAAAATAATAATAATAATAATTTATAATTTTTTTCCCCGAAAAAAAAAATAGAAAATAAAGAGAAAAAGTAGGTGGAGAAAGGAAAAATTGCAATGGTGTAAAATAGAAAAAGAAAAATTGATAGGAGAAAGGAAAAAAGAGAAAGAGAGAGAGACAGGAAGGCATAGATAGAGAGAAATAGAAAAGGAAAAGAATAAAATATTGAGTGGGAATGTTAAAGAAAAAACGACTGACAGAGAGAGAGAGATAATGAAAAGAGGAAATTACTAAGAAGGAATGATAAAGAAAAAAAAAAGACAGAGAGAGAGAGAGAGATTTGTAGAGGAAAAAAGAAACAGAGAGAGAGAGGGGGGGAACAGGAAGGCATATAAAGAGCAGTAAAGAGAGCGGGAGACAAAAAGAAAGACACAGAAATAGAATGAAAATGAGATAAAAGGAAGAGATTGATAAAAAGACAGAGAGACATATTTTATATTACGATATTCACGCCAGAATAAAATCCAGGGAAATTTTTAATGATGATAATAATATTAATATTGTTGTGATCACGTGAGCAAATGTTTATAATTTTATATTATTTATAAATAATAACATTGGAACTATGGTTACCAAGTGTTTATTATGGAAAAGAAGCTTCTAGAAACTTATTCTTCTGTTTGTTTACAAACATAGTTTTTATTCATTTCATAGAAACATAATAATAACAATGAGTTCTACCTATAAAAGGAAGCAAGATACAACGGGAGAAGTTCTTCTGATTCCCTAATGTCCTGTGAATGTTACATCTTATTAATGATTGTGTTAGTGAGAGTGACGGTTAAAGGTTACTTTATGTTATCCATGATATGAGTGATAATCCTTTTTGTAATAATGCTTGCTAAAGACAATATAGAAAAATGTTCATAACAATATTAATAATAATAATAATATTTTCTTTACAACTTATCGAAATAAAAAAAAAAGAAGCCAGTTATTTCGTCGTGTCATTTAAAAATTTACAACCACGGTAAAAATAATAAAAAAAAAAAAAAAATTTATAAATATATATCTTCTGCTATTGACGGAACGTAATTAACTTCGTCGCAAAAAATAAATGAAAATTATTATTATTATCATTATTATTATTTTTATCTTAATCACTGCACTAAAAGGAGAACGATGTAAAAACGTTTTATTAGTCTCAGAAATTTAAAACTTTACTACTATTATTATTATTATCATCATCATTATCCGCAATATTAGACATTTTTGATAATTTTTAAATTTTTCCAACCGGATGTTTTTTTATTTCTAAATCGAATTTTAACGGAAATAACCCCCCCCAAAAAAAAAAAAAAAAGTAAAACGAAAATACCGAAAGAAAAGAAATTTTTTTTTCTCCCTCTCTCCTTTTTTTAAAAAAAAAATTTAATTAAAAACTATTCAAATAAAAATTTTTTAAACTTTAAACTACAGCAAACATAAAATTTATATTTTGCACCGATTTGCTAAAAAAAAAAAAGGAAAAAAGGAAAAAAAAAGGAAAATTTTCGTTAAGTGTTATAAAAATCTCATGGGAACAATTTGCAATTTAATTTTCTAATTTAAAAAAAAAAAATTTTCGACTCGGTTTTTTTTTTAATCAGAAAAAAATGTACTTTATCATTAATAGTCACGTACAAATATCAAAAAAAATTTTCTAGAAAATTCTCTCGATTTCCCCCTCGCCCCCCCGCCCCCTCCCCCGAGCCAAGGAAAACTTTTTAAAGACACGAGTACTTAAGCTTATTTTTTTTTAACTTCTCTCTCTCTCTCTTGTAAATAACACAGCAAATCTCGTGACGACTTTTTAACTCGACCGAAAATTTTTAACGAAAGGGAAGCAGGCAGCCATTTTCGAAAAAGGCGTAAATTAATTAACAATTTCATTCGTTTATTCTGTAATTAAAAATTAAATTAAGATTCCGGAGTTAAATTATAACGAATAAGTGCACGACTAAATAAAAAAAAAAAAAAAGAAAAACTGCATTTTCACCCGAATCCGACCGTAATTCGCATCGTAATCTATTAATATTATTATTATTATTATTACTACTACTACTACGATATTTCACTTACGTTTTATCAAGGTTAAAAAAAAATTTTTTTTTTCGTAACGGTCAATGTCAATTTACGAAACGAAACATATGAAAAATTTCATTTAAAATATAAAATTTGAGTGATAAAAAAATGATGACGTCATGATAGCATCGACAATTTTACCAAAGATGAAAATAAATAAAAAATAAAACGTTTTGGAGAAAAAAAAAAGTCAACAAGTTTGCACTTTTTAAGACTTTTTTTCGTCGTCGTTAAGAAAACACGTTTTTTCATATTTAGCTTATAAGAAAAGCAGTTTTTTTATTTAACGAAAGAAAACAAATTATTAACGTTTAAGGTCCCAAAAATTTGTTTCCGGTTTTAAAAA